TGACGGCCAGAATAAAATTTGAAACACATCCATCTGGCCAGGTCACTCTCCTGTTCTTAATCCTTTGGTTCTGCAAAGGAAAAAGTTCAAATGCCTTCTTTGTCCCCATTTTTATTGCTAAGAAAACCAGGGCACCCAGGAAGGGAAACAGGGCATAGGGGGTTAAGGATGATGGATTGGGAACTCTGACTCAGGCCAAACCCAGGTTGTAAGTATGTATGCAAGAAGCAACAGAAGAACAAGGTTTATCTTGCCTGCACTTGGCTGTGCAAGAAAGCTCAGTTTGGAAAAGATAAAGGTGGGGCCTTCCCAGCACACCCCTAAAGCCTCACTCCCGTCCCAACTTACGCCTTCTTGATCTGGGCATCCTCTGAATTGCGAGTGATCTGAAGCACAGAGTAATAATCCTGACCCATGGCTGGCTTGCAAGGCAGTCAGTCCTTGTTTAATCCTGACTCCAGCAGGGCTGTTAGTCTGCATTCTTTGGTTGCTCCTGACAACCGCACAGGGGCACTCTGGGAGTTGTATTCCTTCCTGCCCAAGCAGACATCACCTCTGCCTCACAGAACAGCCAATCGAAGAACTGGAAAACGGTTGATCCTGTGACCCTGACAAGGTCATTCAACTCAGAAACTCTCAACTCAAGAGTTTTTAAGAAAGTAGCAATTAGTTTCAATTAAAAGTTTTCAGAACAAATGCATTTGCTGATTTTTAAAAAATAAATTTTAAATTTTAGAATAGTTTTAGATTATCAAAAAAGTTGGGAAGACAGTATGGAATTCCCATATACCCATACCCAATTTCCTGTATTATTAATAGCTTACATGAGTATGGTATGTTTATCATAAATAATAATACATCAGGGTTTGTTTTTTTTTTAATGTCCAATTTGGTGACATTTTATTTATCTATTATTAAATTTTTAATTACAGTATAGTTAACATACAATGTTATACTAGTTTCGGGTGTACAATACAGTGATTCATCGATTCCATACATCCCCCAGTGCTCATCACAAGTACACTACTTAGTCCCCTTACCTATTTCACCCATCTACCTACCACCTCCCCTCGGATAACAATCAGTTTCTTCTCTATAGTTAAGAGTCTGTTATGGAGCCTGGGTGGTTCAGTTGGTTAAGTGTCTGACTTCGGCTCAGATCATGATCTCCTGGTTTGTGGGTTCAAGCACTGCATTGGGCTCTGTGCTGACATGACAACTTGGAGCCTGTTTTGGATTCTGTGATCTCTTCTGTCTCTGCCTCCTGCCGGCTCTATCTCAAAAATAAACATTAAAAAAATTTTTGTAATAAAAAAAAATATTAAAAAAAAAAGTCTCTTGGTTTGTCGCTCTTTTTCCTTTGTTCATTTGTTTCTTAAATTCCACACGAGTGAAATCATACAGTATTTGTCTTTGACTTATTTTGCTTAGCATTATATGCTCTAGTTCCATCCATGTTGTTGCAAATGACAAGATTTTGTTCTTTTTATGGCTGAATAATATTCCATTGTATATATATGCCACCTCTTCTTTATCCATTTATTTACAATGGGCACTTGGGCTGCTTCCATAATTTGCCTATTGTAAATAAAATTGCTATAAACATAGGGGTGCATGTATACTTTTGAATTAGTGTTTTTGTATATTTTTGATAGATACCCAGTAGTGCAATTATTGGGATTGTAAGGGAGTTGTATTTTTAACTTTTTGAGCAACCTCCAAACTGTTTTCCACAGTGGCTGCACCAGTTTGCACTCCCACCACAGAGCAAAAGTGTTCCTTTTCCTACACATCCTGGCCAATACTTATTTCTTGTGTTTTTTATTTTAGTTATTCTGACAGATATAAGGTGATATCTCATTGTAGTCTTGATTTGCATTTCCCTGATGATAAATGACAGTGAACCATCTCTTCATGTGTCTGTTGGCCATCTGAATGTCTTCTCTGGAGAAATGTCCATGTCTTCTGCCCAATTTTAATTGGATTATTTGGGGGGGGGTGTTGACTTGTATCATCCTTTATATATTTCAGATACTGTCCCTTTATCAAATACGTCATTTGAAAATATCTTCTCCCATTTAGTAGGTTGCCTTTTAGTTTTGTTGTTTCTTTTGGTTACAATGTTTATAATGAAAGTCCATACTTTATTCACATTTCCTAGTTTTCAACCTTATGTCTTTTTTTCTGTTCCAGGATCCCACCCAGGATACCACGTTACATTTAGTTGTCATGTTTCCTTAGGCTCCTCCTGGCTAAAACTGTTTCTCAAACTTTTCTTGTATTTTGATGACTTTGATAGTTTAAGCAGTACTGCTCAGGTATTTTGTACAAAGTCTCTTAATGGGATTTGTTTGATGTTTTTCTTTTTCTTTTTTTCTTTTTTTAAGTTTATTTATTTTGAGAGAGAGGGAAAGAGAGAGACAGTGCAAGTGAGGGAGGGGCAGAGAGAAAGGGAGAGAGAGAGAATCCCAAGCAGGCTCCACACTGTCAGCGTGGAGCCCGATGCAGGGCTCAAACCCACAAACCATTAGATCATGACCTGAGCTGAAACCAAGAGTTGTATGCTTAACTAACTAAGCCACCCGGGCGCCCTGATTTGAAATTTTTCTTATGATTAGACTGAGGCTGGGGGCTTCTGAAAGGAAGACCACAGAAGTGAAGTGCCATTCTCATCCCATCATATCAAAGGTACCTACTATCAACATGACATCACTGATCATGCTGACCTTCATCTGCTAAGGTAGTATATATCAGGTTTCTCTCCACTGTAAAGTTACTTTTGTTTGCTCCTTTCTGGATTGTACTCCTTGGAAGGAAGTCATTTCACAGTCTGCCCTTAAAGATTGGAGAATTCTGCTCTAGAGGAGGAAAAAAGGAAGGGATATAGTGTGTCACTGGCCTAGGGAAAGACCACTGGAACAATCGTCCAGCTACAAACCCATGCATATATGAAAACTTTATACATAACACAGCAATCAATACAGATTGGTGCAGAAAACAAAAGGACTGTTAAATAAGTGGTTATGGGACAGTAGGATATCTAAAAGGAAAAAAATGATACTACCTTATACCATATACCAAAAAAAAAAAAAAAAAAAGGTGGATTAAAGATTTAAGAGTGAAATGAACTCTTAGAAGAAAGTATAGGTGAAGATCTTTATGACCCGTACAGAGAATATTTCTTAAACTAGACACAAAAAGCATAACCAAAAAGGAAAAGATTGCTAGGTTCTACCCCACTAAGAAAAATGGTAAAAAGACAAGCTCCAAAGTGAAAGGGATTTGTACTTTATATTTTCTTTTATTTTCAATTTTTAAAAAAATGTTTGTTTATTTTTGAGAGAGGGGGGCAGAGGGGCAGGGGGAGAGGGAGACAGAGAATATGAAGAGGGCTCTGTGCTGACAGCAGAGAGCTGGATGCAGGGCTAGAACTCATGAACTGTGAGATCACAACCTGAGCCAAAGTCAGAAGCTTAACCAACTAAGCAACCCAGATGCCCCTGTATTTTATATTTTAAACAAAGAAACATAAAAGAAAACCTGAAAAGTCATACACACAAAAAGTCCCAATAGAAAAATGGGCAAAAGGCATAAATAGGCATTTATAACAAGATGGTCAAACAAAAAATGCAAATTAAAGTTCACAATGAGATGCTATTTCACATCTATACTGGCAAACATTTAAAAACTTGACCTCAGTGGTGCCTGGCTGGCTCAGTGGGTAGAGCATGTGACTCTTGATCTCAGGGTTGTGAGTGCAAGCCCCATGTTGGGCATAGAGATGAGATGAAATGAGATGAGATGAGATGAGATGAGATGAAATGAAATGAAATGAAATGAAATGAAATGAAATGAAATGAAAT